CGCTACACTGCGTAGTAGAGTTACAGCGGAAGGCCACCCTACTAAGAATCACTTCTTGTGGGAATGGCAGTGACCGCATCCTTAGTTCTAGGGATGCAGCAAAACTACTAGTCGAACTTCCCCTGAGCTCACACCCCAGGGACGAAATGACAGTAGAATTCATCTTTGAAAAGAATTTCTCTGCTCATCTGAGCAACAAGAAAGAAAGAACCACCATGAAGGAAGTACACTCCATGGCGAGTCACACTATTGCATGGTATACAGACGGGTCTTTAACACACCAAGGCACTGGCCTTGGAGTAGTAGGACCACGAATCAAATACCATGAATCGTTAGGCCAATACACCAGCATATTCCAAGCTGAAGTTTGTGCCATAGGACGGTGTGCAGAGCTCAATATGAAGCGTGGGTACACAAACAAGGACATTGCGATCCTCTCGGACAGTCGAGCGGCAATTACTGCACTATGCAGCAATAGAATCACTTCGAAGCTGGTACGAGAAGTAAGGACAAAGCTGAACCTTCTGGGCAGCAACAACAGGCTGTCATTAAGATGGATTCCAGGACACAAAGACATATCCGGGAATGAACTAGCCGACAGGCTAGCAAAACTAGGTGCGGAAAGACCCCTTATAGGACCCGAGCCTTACTGTGGCATAGGCAGACACACAGTCAAAGATTACCTAAGAACAGAAGAGGTACATATGAGGCAAGCCTGCTGGGTAGACACCACAGGCCAAAGACAAGCCAAAACCCTCATCGTCAATTATGACATGAAGAGGTTTAAGAAACTTATACTACTAGGGAAGAGATCACTTAGGATAGTTACCGGATTACTAACCGGACACTGTAAACTAAGGAGACACCTATTTAATATAGGGATTACAAACAGGAAAACATGCAGATTCTGTGATAACGAGGACGAAACCTCAATACACATAATATCAGATTGCCCAGCACTAAGTAGCCTGAGGAGCAGAACCCTCGGGTCCAGGTTCCTTACACTTGCGACCTCTGGAAGCATCGACCCGATAAAGCTCCTTAACCTTATCGAAGGAGCCGGGTTGATGGGTGAGCTCTAAGCTCAGATAGGGGGTACAATAGATCCAGTTGGGTCGAGGTAACCTTTTCCCCCCCTAATAATAATAATAATTGGTCCAGGATGTAATTGATCATAGGCATTGGGTACGCATCCTTTACCGACTTTGCGTTTATTTGTCGGAAATTAACGCACAGTCTCCATTTTCCCGTCTTCTTCTTTACCATGACGATTGGAGAGATGTACGGGCTTCTTGACGGCTCGATGCATCCTTTTTCCAGCAGCTCGTCTACCTTTTCGTTTATTTCCTTCTGCATTTTGGGGTTTTTTGGGTAGTACCGCTGCTTCACTGGCTGGTCATCCATCATCGTGATCTTGTGGACGGCTATGGTTGATGATCCGCATGACTCTTCTAGAGCTTTCAGCTCCTCCTTCAGGAATTTGGCGATGTTCTCTTCTGAAAACGGTTCCGGTGTTTCTACCACTGCCACCGACTTTCTTCCAGCATTCCAAGTCTGCGCTTTCTTGCTGGTATCGCCACCTCGAGTCCTGCGCATTTTACCTCCGCTCCTATTTTTGTGAGGAAATCCCAGCCCAACACTAGGGCGTCTATCACTCTTGGGAGGATTAATAACTGCATCAACACCTTTCTCGTCCCGAGACCAACCACTATCTCCAGCTGTGATTGGATGCTCCCGCATCTTCCGTCTGCCATGCGCACCTGCCTTCTCGTTGGTATGACCTTACCGACGGCCTGCAGCCTGTCCGCCAACTCTTCGCTTATAAAGCTTGCCGTGGCGCCAGTGTCTACCGTGGCCTTCACTTTTCGTTGGTTAATGAGCACTGTGGCGGACAGCTGCATCTCTTCCGCCTTCAGGTCGCCCATTAGTTTCGAGAGGCAGCACCTTGCGATCCCTGGCCGCCCCTCGGTGGCTGAGGGTCGCCGCTCGTGCGCAGCATTCGCCGTTCGTGACGCCTATTCTTCCGCATCTCCCACAAAATGCGATTCTTCTATTGCGTCATTCTTTGGCCCAGTGGTCTTGGCTTCCGCATCTCCGGCATGCCTGGGATGGATTACTTATGTATCCCGGCCGTGCGTTACGCTCGTCTGGCTCCTCTTGACAGCGCCTGCTCGCTGCTGCTGGTTCCCTCCTCATGGCCGGCGCATGGAGCGGTATCGAACCGCTCCCTCTGTTGGTCGAGCTCCTCAAATTCGTCCGCTAATGCCATCAGGGTATCCAGGTTCTGGCACCTGTTGGGGGCGGATAAACAGCCGTAATGCTGGGGTGCTGTTTTCTTTAATCCGCTCCAAGATCTCGTCCTTGTTCAAACCCAGGGGTCGCATCAATGTCTGCATGTCTACCATGTAGTCATTGAAGCTTTCACCGTAGTTCTGCTTCCTCTGCCTGACTTGATCTGCGAGTTTGTTCATGAATCCCATGGGCAAGAAGAACTCCTGGAAGCTCTGGCTAAATCCGCCCCAGGTCTCCCAGAACCTGTTGTTAGCGATGAACCATTTGAGCGCTCTACCCTGAAGGAGCTCCGGCATCGCCCTCGGAATTTGGTTTATGTCTAGCCCGTATGTCATGACCGACCACTCCACTTGTTCGAGGAACGCCAGGGGCTTCTCATTCCCGTCGTAACGGAAACTCCACTCCCTGACTTGTTTTGCGATCTTGGCATAATCCTGACCGGGTCTGCCATTCTCCGCACGTTGTTCGCGGTTGTCGCTCTTCCTCTCTCTGCTGTTTTCCCGTCGGTCGCAGCTGTTACTCCTGCTGGCGTTCTGCATGCTGCTCACGTCCAGGCTGCGCACCAGGCCCTCGGCTCCGGTGACTTTCAGGCCGACCGACGGGTACTTGGCGTAGTCCCTTTCCAGGGCCGCCAGAATTGCTAGCGCATCAGGATCATGCCCGGAATGGTCGATGAATTCGGCCAGTGTCCGCCTCATGTCCTCTACAAGGCCCTCTAGCTCGATGCCTAGGGCGCTTGCGATCGCCGGGAAATCGTCCTTTTTAAGGTTGTATAACCAGGACTTCCCCATTCTCAATCTATTTCTGGTTTCTTTTGGTACGAGTATCACGCTTGGGCGTCAGATGTAACGAACTGCCTTTTTTACTTTCTGCTCGCTGCGTAAAACGCGCGGCTAGCTCAGCTGAGTTTGTGTGTTCGTCCCACCAAATTTATTGTAGCCTGACCCCGAAACCAAAGAAGAACGCAGAAGTATGTTAGACTTTAGAATAAGTGTTGGGTTTATTGCATGTAGATTTATAATCGGTTGTTCGATTTCTGGCTCGGCTCGCTGATGAAGATGATGCCCTCGGTGACGCCGATAGTGGCTCCCACGTCGACTCTACGGCGGCACGCCTGTCGTGCGTCCTCTGCCTTGCCGAGTCTTTTGGGCACCGGTCGCGTACTGGGCTCGCTACGAGTCTCTCACAACCTTGGAGGATGTTAAGCAGAACCTCCCTAGCGGGGCTAAGCAGTGATGCCTGCAGTCACCACTCTTCGCTCCACCCCGGAGTTCGGTCGGGACTTCGTCGGCCTGGCCCTTGGCCGGGTACCTTTCGCACAACTCCACTGGATCTTCGTCGGCCTGACCTTCAGCAGGTCCTCAATCTCTCATGGGAACCGACGCTGGGTACCTTTCGCACAACATCCACTGCCAAGACTCCGCCAACTTCGTCGATTTCGAGACTCGTAGACGCACCCTACAACTTACCTTGTACCCTCGGGATCTCAGCTTGGCAGTCTCAGCTTATGTAGACGTAACCGTCGTTGGGCTTCTCGACTCGGCGATCTTGATTCCGGGTATCCTGGCACTTGTTGTTCACTTGGGCTTTCACTCGCGTTGGTACGATCTCTTGCACGACTTTCACTTGACTGTCTAGAAATGTGCGCGCTTTCTCCTTTTATACGCCATCCTGGTCCCGCAATTTCCCTTCCTTGGTGGCGTGATCGGGTCCAAAGTGCAGGACAAGTGGCGTGATCGGGTACAGAGTGCAGGAACAGTCCCGTTAGTTCACGATCCTTCCCTTTTGTGCTGGTCCAAAGTCCGCCGACTTCACCGTTATACGGGTGCAAAGTCCAGGACTTCACCGTTATAACGGTTACAAAGTCCGCCGCGGTACCGTTAATTCACGGTCTCTCCTCTTTGCGCGGGTCCGAAGTCCGCAGACTTGCTGTTGTTGGGTCCAAAGTCTGCAGACTCACCTCAGCATTGAGTCCAAAGTCCTTGGAGCCGTTATTTCCCTATTTCCCACTGCACACAGCGCATCCCGCTGTTGCCATGCAGCTCCGCTGCACTCAAAATTGTAAGGAGTTTTACAACTCCTTACATCTCCCCCTTCCTTCGGAAACTTTTGAAAGCTTCGGGCTCCGGAATTTCCTGGGGAAAACGTCCTGAGTGCGGCCAAGGGCCTCTTGGATCTCAGCCGGACAGCCTCAGCCTATTGGACCCTACCTGGTCGTTCAGCATCTCGACTGTGGCATCTTGACCCCCATGGCTCCTTGCGCACACGTCCTTCCTCGATCCTTGTGGCCGCAGCCACTCCCTCGTCGACCTCCTCCCGCCATGCCTGAGAGCTCCTCCAATCTCAGCACCTAAGTCTCAGCTTATGTAGACTTCCCGTCGTTGGGCTTCTTGACTAGGGCATCTTGACTGTCGAAAACTCCCAGCACGTGACTCCTTCCGATCCTCGTTCGAATTCGAACCGTTTCCTGCGTAGTATTTCCCCGCGCACAATCGATAACTCATCTCGATCGATCGTGGCGTTGCCACTCCTCAGGGCTGCAATCATAACCAGTGTGACCGGCCAGCGATGTTTCCAGTATTTTCTTTGCTCCCATCGACCGCCGTTATCGTGGCGACCCCATTCCCAATTTCCGCTGGCCTCGTGGTTTTGTTTTGGTAAGTACTTGAGGTTATTTCGATTTTTTTTTTTTTTCTCACCATTTTCGTCCTCTTCTTTCAGCATGCACCTTTGCCGGGTTGAGCTGCGAACGCCTCCCCGATGAATAAGTGCCGGGACGCCCACCATGATGCAGCGCGTCCCGGCAGGCCCTTTTTTGGCCCTTTCTTCCCCTCCATTGCCCCCTCCTCCCCCAACAGCCCCTTTGGACTGGCCGCCCGGGCCTGCTTCCAGGTAAGTTCGTGAGATATTTCCACTGTTCCTTGGCTTACCCTTTTTCCTTTTCTTTCAGCACGTCCAGGCTGCCAGTCGACGCTTCCTCTTTATGCGCCGGGCGCCATCCTTAGCCCGTCGCGCCCGGCAGATGGTCCTCGGGCGGACGACTATGGAGTCGTTGGGTCCATCGCTGACCCCCTCTCGCTTTGCTCCTCGCCGGCCCGCGCCCCTCGCGGGGTCATTGACCCGTCCGGCCCATATATATTTTTTTTCCTGTGTTTACATATATTTTTTTGTGTGTGTTTTATTGACAGGTCCACCTCCGGCACTACCCGCCCCTGTCCCCAAAATATACAGTCGAATATTATTCCTGAATGGGCACTTATTTCGTCTTGAAGACCCTGGCCCGCCCGCCCGCCATCTTGATGCGGTAGCGGGCCCCCTCCGACCACATTAACTTCGCCCACCGCTGGGTCCTCACTCGCTGAGCCTGCCTCTCCGCCTCGGCCCTCACCGCATCTGGGCATTCCGCGATGAATATCTCCTGCCCGGCGGCCTCCACCGACACCGCCCTCCGCAAGGTGGGTCTCCTTGGTGCCTGGGCCTCAGGACATGACTCCTGACGGAGCAGCTTCGGCGGTCGTGGCGGCGGTTGCGGCGACGACGGCGGCGGCCCTTGCGGCAGCGGCGGCGTGCTCCTTGCCGCTGGCGACCCCGGTGGCGGCGGCGGCGGCGGCCCTCGCGGCAGTGGTGGCAATTTCACCCACGTCGGCGGAAGAGGCGGCGGCGATGACAACGGCAATGGTGATGCCCTCGGCGGGGCCTCCCTCGGCGGAGACGGTGGCCGTGCTTCCCTCGGCGGTGACCCCTTTGGTGGCGGCGGCGGCGACGGCAGTTTCGGCGGCGGCGGTGGCGGCGACGACGACGATGACGACGATGATGATGACGATGACGACGACGACGTTGGAGACGGCATCCACAACTCGGCTTCCTCGGCCTCCGCTTGCTGGAGTCGCAATTGCCACGCCTCCCACGCCGCCACCCTTTCCCTCTGCTGCTCCTGCAACTTCCGCAATGTCCATTGGCGCCTGGCCATGATGGCTACCACTTCCGCGGGGTCCCCCGACGGAGCCTCCGTTCCGCACCGGATGAAGTCGCCACCCGCCACGGCCCGCCTGAGCTGCCGATAACTCCTCCTTGCCTTTCCCGCCCTCCTGTCGTCGTCCTCGTCCGACGAGACCACGGGGGTCACGGTTTCACCGCCGCTGTCCTCTTCCGTCGACGACAGCTCCACCGTGACCATCTCCGCAGTGGGGCCGCCGTCGACCTCCTCGTCGGAGGACATCTCCCTCTCCGACATCTCGCACCAGGCCGGCGACGGGGACCGCGATACCAGCGGGGACGCCAGCAGCTGGAGGGCCGACGACGAGCGCCGACGCCTCCACTTCGCCCCTGGCTGTTGCCGCTGGTCGCGGCCCTCCGCGCCGACCTTGCGCTTGCGCTGCTGCTGCAGCGGAAACGGCTGCAGCTGCTGCTGTTTTTGCGGCTGCTGTTGCTGCTGCTGCTGTTGCGGCTGCCCTTGCTGTCGCTGCAGTTGCTGCTGCTGCCCTTGCTGGGGCTTCTGCTGCTGCTTACTTTGAGAAGTACGTCCGGCCATCTTGATCGAAATTTTGAAAGACCGAGTCTTCCCGCGTGGTTACGATCAGCACATCGTGCTAACTAAATAAAGACTTGAAAGTTTGTCTATTGAAAGTGCATATTATCATAAACATTAAACGTCAAAAGACAATAACTGGCGATGCTGTAGCATCAGCCGCAATTAACAAAATGCCACGTCAAAGGAAAAATATTACTGTGAATAAAGCTCTTCGTGACGAGTTCACAAATTACTTTCGTCCGCTTCAAACTATTGAGGACAACAACAACATTGATGACGTAGAAGAGGTACCTGTAGTCGTCCCAAAAGAGGTTACTAAAATGCCACCTATAACTGTCCTTAAACAGACTGCCAAGTTCCTACATGATGTTCTCATCCGCATCAAAATAAGTGACTACTAAATCAAAACCATATCTATTGGTATTAAAATATTCACCACAGGTGAAGAAAACTACAATAAAATTTGCACTCAGCTGCGTGATCTCAAATGCGAATTCTCTTCGTACGATTGCAAAAAGACCAAACCTTACAAGGCGGTACTCTCTGGTCTTGACAAACTACCAAATGCTGACGTCAAAACCTTGCTTAATAACATAGGCCTGAAATGCATTGATGTTAAAACAATTGACAAAATAACAAACAAGAAAGGAAGCTAGCTTCGGCAAGCCGAAGCTTACATACCCTTGCAGTCATCAAATATGTCGATATGTACTTAAAGGCTAAACAACATCGAAGCTAAGACTGTTTTTCTATTCATTTTCCATATTTTCGACTATAGATCTTATGTGAGCTATATGATATAGCTTTCCGATTTTGATCAAATTTAATTCGTAATTCAAGAGTCGTTAGAAAACTTTATATTCCAAAAATCATGCGTATCTGATAAAAAACAACGATATTATAATTTTATTTCCGTTATTTCTATATAGATCTTTCGATCTTTCCTATGGTACCTATAAGATATAGTTGTCCGATTTTTATGAAACTTTTTTCTCAATATAAACGTGGTTAGAAAACTTGATATTCAAAAAATCATGCTCGTGGGATAAAAAACAACGATGTAATCAATTTATTTCCATTAATTCTATATATTTTTCGATCTCTCCTATAGCAGCTATATGATAGAGTTATCCGATTTTGATCAAATTTAATCCGAAATTCAAAAACTGTTTGAAAACGCCATCTAGAAGAAATCAAGTCGATCTGATCAAAAACAACAGAGTGAGAATTTTTTATTTCATTCCCTTGTATTGGAGCTATCCGATATAGTCGGCCGATCCGGCTCGTTCCGACTTATATACTGCGTGCAACAACTACACAACTTTTGGGAAAGTTTCAGCACGATAGCTTTAAAACTGAGAGACTAGTTTGCGCGGAAACGGACAGACGGACAGACGGACAGACGGACAGATGGACAGACGGACAGACGTACAGGCGGATTCCGATTCTGCTCGTGATGCTGATCAAGAATATATATACTTTATGGGGTCTGAGGTGTCTCCTTCACTGCGTTGCAAACTTCTGACTGAAATTATAATACCCTTTTGCTCTGCAAGGGTATAAAAATGACAATAAGCTATTTCTCTATGTAGTCTATTTCGCTAATAAAAGCATCACTCTGCACCAGCTACGCAAAGATTACATATATATAAACCATACCAAAGTACGATGGGAGTACAAGTCAAAATCAAGCAGCAAACTGACACAATGCTACAATTGCCAGCTTTATGGACATGGGTCCATGCATTGCGCTGTAAAAACCTCTTGCGCCCACTGTGCCGGCCCACACAAGACCATTGAGTGCCCCGACAGCACCAAACAAAAATGTGCAAACTGCAAAGGAAATCACCCCTCCTCCGACCCTCAGTGCCCTTGCCGACTTTCTTATCAGTCGCTTCTCCAACGACGATCGTCCAGCGGTAATCGTTTCATCAAACCGAGGTACGAGAACCAAACAGCTCGTGGAGCAAACCGAAATATGCTCGTATCAGCTTTACCAACTCCGATTCGGCCGTCAAATCTTCCTCAAGCTTCATACCAGAGCTACAGAAATGCAGTCGTAAATAACGACTCAAATCCACCGAGTTCTCCCGACGTTTTTACCATCGATGAAATCACAGCTCTTACGACTGAGCTCATCAATAAATTGAGTGCCTGTACCTCAAAAAGTGAGCAGTTAAATATAATAACTCAACTTGCTATCAAATATGTGTACTCCAATAAGTAAATCAGTCACTCATATTAATATCATGGTATGGAACGCTCGTGCCGTCAGTAGTAAACGCCTTGAGTTAATTAACTTCCTCATTAAAAACCAAATTCATGTTTGTCTTGTTAGCGAAACTTGGCTAACGGATAAAATTAAACTCTCTATACCAAATTATAAAGTTTATCGAAATGATCGTGGTACTACAAAAGGTGGAGGTGTTGCGATTATAGTAGAGAACAGTATTCAGCATGAACAAATCAAAAGTATAAAGACCCATCTTATAGAAAACATTGCTGTAAAGATAAACACTGAGTCCAATCATTCTCTTAAAATATATTCAGCATATTTTCCTGGTGCTTCAGCTAAATGCCTAAACAATCCGTGCAACTTTCCTTTAACAAATAAACACATAAAAACAATGTTCAGGGCCGGCCGACCTAGTAAAATTTTCACAAATTAATGGCCATTACATATTGGGTGGTGACTTGAACTGCAGAAATCGATTATGGAATTGTGCCAGAGCTAACTCGTTTGGAAATTGCCTTCATGAGCTTTTGTCAACAGGAAAATTTTCGCTTTTATACTCCAAAGATCCAACCTATATACCAGCAAACTTTAGTAGCAAGCCTTCCACTCTTGACATTTTCCTTACAAATTCACCGATAAATTTCTCCGAGCCAATTGTGCATACTGATCTCTCATCGGACCATTTACCAGTACTTTGGAAGTTCACTAAAGGAGTTCGTTGCAAAAATGTTACACACTTGCAATACTCCAAAGCTAACTGGAAAAAATTTAAGCATATCCTCAATGTTGCATCCTTAGCCAATCTTGAAGCTCTTTCGGATTTTGAAGCGGAGCAAGAAGTAGTAGATGTAATGGTCGATATTCTTCAAGCTGACATACATAGTGCAATAAAACAGTGTATACCCGAAGCGCCTGTTAGGCCTATAGTTAAGAAAATTCCACAGTGGATAAAAAATATAATCAGTGATAGAAACACAAATCAAAGAAAATGGATTAGAACCAGACAACCCATCTTTAAGGCTAGGGTAAACTATTTGAACCACATGATTCGCCAGAAACTATTTGAGCATAACAATGAAAAGTGGAATCTGAAACTGTCTAAATTGGACAAGAATTCCAGGCCATTTTGGAAGCTTACTAAAATTATTAAGAACAAAAAACAGTTTATCCCAAGTTTCATTCACAATAATATAGTGTTTTCCACAAGAGCAGAAAAAGCAGATATCTTAGCAGAAGTTTTTGAATTAAAACATCACATTACTGACAGTTTCTCAGACGATAATACCTCAACTGAAGTCCGAAACACTTTAAGCCAATTTAACAATTTGAATGACTTAACATTCACACCTAAAATCACTCCTAAGGATATTGACGCCATAATAAAGTCACTAAAAAATAACAAATCACCTGGCATGGATAAAATTCCAAACATGTGTCTACAAAATTTACCAAAAAATGCGATAGACTTTCTTGCTCTAATCATGAATAAATGTCTTCAAATTGGTTATTTCCCCAAAAATTGGAAAATTGCAAGAATTATTCCAATTCCTAAGCCAGGAAAGCC